AAGGGTAAGCTGGGACGAAGTGAGAGAGTGACATGGACATATATACACTACCAAACGTAAAACAGATAGCGAGTGGGAAGCAGCCGCATAGCACAAGGAGACCAGCTCGATGCTTTGTGACCACCTAGGGGGGTGGGATAGGGAGGGTGGGAGGGAGGGAGATGCAAGAGGGAGGAGATATGGGGATATATGTATACATATAGCTGATTCACTTTGTTATACAGCAGAAACTAACACACCATTGTAGAGCAATTATACTCCAGTAATGATGTTTAAAAAAATGATAAAAGCAGCTACCTCATAAGACTATTGTGAAAGAGAAAAAAACATATAAAAATGCTTGGCACAGTACCTGAGACATACTAACCGGTCAACAAACGGTAGCAATTATTTCCAGTCCAGTGTTTTTTGTACTAGATGTAGATAAACTAAAAATGCAGAGAACATCTTATTATGTCCTTTTACTTTCTCTCCAATTTATCCTCTCATAGATACTCAATGAAAAGTAATACAGTCACTTGGGAATTATCCCTAAATTACCCCCGATGTTTGCAAAGATCTCCAAAGTTTAAGACTATCATCCGCATCCCAAGTCTCTTAAGTCAAGTGGCCTCTGTGCCCAGAGGAGACAAAAGAGTTTTAGGAAGACTTCCTCAACAAGTTTTTAGAGTTGAATCATTTAGTGCTTTGAATGTTAATTCAGTTAAGTTTTATTCAAGATAAAAATAAGCCTCTGATATTTAAAATCCAATTCAATTTCTTCAGATGTTTACTAAATTGGAGGACAAGAAATCAATGCTACAAAGTCAGGGAGGAACGTGCACATTCTTGGAGAGTCACCGCTGCTCCTAAGAGCGCATCTCAGGCCTTTTGTGGCGCTTGGCAAAGGGAAGTGAGCCAAAGCCCGGTGGGGCTGCATGATCATGAGAAGTGAGAGTCTTATTCAAGACTGTGAGCTGTTGGTCTCAGGGAGGGCACATTTTTTTTCTCCCAGATTTGAAGACTACTCTCCACCCTATCTTAAAATAAACAAACAAACAAAACAAAAACAGTGTACTGGCACAACAATGGGATATCGTTGACTCAAACTGTACATTTAAAAATGGTTAAGACAGTTAAAAAAATATAAAAGTAATAGGGAATTCTGTGCAAGGGGTGAGGAAAGAAGGTGTGTGAACTCTCTACTTTCGGCTCAATTTTTCTATCACTGCTCTAAAAAATAAAATTCATTAATTAAAAGAGAAAGAAGAAACACATATTATGCTAGGTGAAATAAGCCAGATACTAAAGGCCACATGTTTGATTCCATTTATACGAAATGCCCAGAACAGACAAATCTATAGAGACAGACAGTGGTGGTGTTTGGGGCGGGGAGCGGGGAGTTATAGGAGGAGAAGATAAATAGGCAGAACACAGAGGATTTTTAGGGCAGTGAAAATACTCTGTATGATGTTATAGTGTTGGATATATGTTATTATACACTTGTCCAAACCCACAGAATATACAACACCAAGAGTAAACCCTATGGTAGACTATGGACTTGGGATGATTATGATATATCAACATAGGTTCATCCTTTGTTAAAAAAACTACGAATAATGAAAAAAAATAATAAAGGACCATTCTGGCAAGTGATGTTGATAATGGAGGAGGCTATGCATGTATGGGGGGCAGGAAGCATATGGGAAATCTCTGTACCTTTTTCTCAATTTTGTTGTAAACCTAAAATGTCTCTAAAAATAATAAAGTATTTTAAACAAAAAAGTAGATAGTGGTTGCTGAGGGCTTGGGGGAGGAAGGAATGGGAAGTGACTGCTAATGGGTATGGGGTGTCTTTTTGGGGTGATGAAAATGTGCTGGAATTAGATAGTGGTGATATTTGCACAAGTCTCTGACTATACTAAAAACTACTGAATTGTATTCTTTTAAAGGGCCTATTTTATATAATATGAATTATATTCCAATTAAAAAGAAACGTGTACTGGGCTTCCCTGGTGGCGCAGTGGTTGAGAGTCCACCTGCTGAGGCAGGGGACACGGGTTCGTGCCCCGGTCCGGGAAGATCCCACATGTCGCGGAGTGTCTGGGTCCGTGAGCCGTGGCCGCTGAGCCTACGTGTCTGCAGCCTGTGCTCCACAACGGGAGAGGCCACAACAGTGAGGCCCGTGTACCGCAAAAAAAAAAAAAAAGAAAAGAAAAGAAACATGTACTGAGTATAATGAAGATCTCACCTCTTTTCCTTTCACCAGGAGACCTCTGGATACAATACAGGAGAGTGGAGTACAGAAGGAAGAGAACAAGCAAAGGTTATTTGTCTCTCCTGCCTTAGGACCTTGCCCATCACCCTCTCATCAGAGACTGTACAGCAAGGCTGGCTGCTAAACCAGCTCTCAACAACTTTACCCTTTCATAGTCTCTGTGGTTGTATATGTTGAAAGAGGCATGTGGTCCTCTGCTGTAAATAGTTTCTTCTGTGTGCTTTTATTTCTCCTTTTCTTATCTGCTAACAACAATTATCTATTATCTCTTGATTTCTCTTTTCACTCTTTCCCATTCAATGCATACTCTTTCCATGTCTCCTTCATCTAATGATCTTATAAGATAGATAGATAAAAGCCCCTCTGGCTGGCTGGTTAGCCTTACATCCACTCATTTACCCATCTATACATCTATCTATTACCTACCTCAGGAATCCCCATCATTTTGGAAGGAAAGGGCTCACTTCCTGGCAACACCAATAGAAAAACAACTCCTCCAAAGAAAGAGCCACTATTATGTCCCAGCTTCTGTGACCAGGAATTAGTGAGTTTCTTCACTTCATATTTCTAGCTGCTACTACAGTAAAGGGAACGAAGCGAAAGTTCATCAAGGCCATGGTCTGTCCAGCTGACTCATAGATATATTATTTTAGCACTTTGAGAATAACTGTTTACAGAGCATGGTTAGTTCATTGTTAATATGGTGACGAAGGAAGTTGAAACAAATTGCTTAAGTGTTGCTTAGGGTTGCCCTAACCTATGAATTTATGTTTATTGACAGACGCTTATTGACAAATATTTATAGGCAAAACCAGAAGTTACCTACCCCCAAATTCCTCCTCTATAACTTTACCACTTGCAGATTTATGGAAAAAAGTAAATAGAAAGTAATTTGGTAAGCAAATTGTTATTTCTAGTTTCAAATAGCCCTTTGGAGGGATATATTTATTAGTGATTCAAATATTAGTATCAATTAATTTAATGATATCCACACCTGGATATAATCAGCCTGGATTGAAGCTTTATCTATGAGAGAAGAAAGAAAGTCTACCATGTTTCTTTTGGATATACACTCAGGAGTGGAATTGCTGGGTCATATGGTAGTTCTATTTTTAGTTTTTGAAGAAACCTCCGTACTGTCTTCCACAGTGGCTGAACCAATTTACATATACATTTAAACAATCTTTTTTACTTATTTTTTGGCCGCGCCATGTGGTACGCAGAGATCTTAGTCCCCTGACCAGGGATCGAACCCGTGCCCCCTGCAATGGAAGCACAGAGTCTTAACCACTGGACCACCAGGGAACTCCCTACATTTATTTATATATCCAAAAGAAACAAACAAACAAAAAAATTTGAAAAGGTACATGCACCACAACATTCACAGCAGCATTATTTAAATTGCCAAGGTATGGAAGCAACCGAAGTGTCTATCAACAGATGAATTGACAAAGAAGATGTGGCATATATATATAATGGAATACTACTCAGCCATAAAAAAAGAATGGAATTTTGCCGTTTGCAGAAACATGGATAGACTTTGAGGGCATTATGCTAAGTGAAATATGTCAGACAGAGAAAAACAAATGCTGTATGATACCACTTATATGTAGAATCTAAAAAATACAACAAACAAGTGAATACCTCAAAAAAAGAAGCAGACTCACATATATAGAGAACAAACTAGTGGTTACCGGTGGAGGGGGAGGGGCAACATAGGGGTGAGGGAGTGGAAGGTACGAACTACTGGGTGTAAGAGAGGCTCAAGGATATATTGTACAACACAGGGAAGACAGCCAATATTTTGTAATAATTGTAAATGGAAAGTAACCTTTAAAAATTGTATAAAACTTTTTAAAAATTAAAAAAATAGAAAGTTCCACCATGGGGGCCTTAACACCATTCTACTTACCTACCTACTGACTTCTTCTTTAAAGTCTAAATTCAAGAGCCACGTTCTCTTGGAAAATGTGTTTCTTCATGTCTCTAGTTTGGGTTCATTTTTTGGGGTCCACCAATAGCCCCCTGTGCAAGACACAGACTACAAGACAATATTAGCACTACACGTATCTGATAAAGCATTTGTAACAAGAATATTTATAAAGCGATTTTACAACAATAACAAGGCAAACAACCCATTTGTTAATGGGCAAAAAATATGAAAAGGACATACATAAATAGCCAATAATTACATTAAAAGGTGCTAGAGAAACATTAGTTATCAAGGAAATGCAAATCAAGATACCATCAGAATATCTAAAATTAAAAGACTACAGATACCAAGTGATGGAGAGGATGTAGAGTGACCAGAACTCTTATTCATCGCTGGTGGGAATGTAGAACAGTACAACCATTTCAGAGAATGCTTGGGCAGTTTCTTATAAAGATAAACATATGTCTACCGTATGACACTGAAACTCCACTCCTAGGTGTTCATCGAAGAGAAATGAAAACATGCCTGCACAAAGACTTGTACCTAAATATTCATAGCAACTTTCTTTCTAGTAGCCCCAAACTACAAACAGCTCAAATGTCCATCAATATGTGAATGGATAGGGGCTTCCCTGGTGGCGCAGTGGTTGAGAGTCCGCCTGCCGATGCAGGGGACACGGGTTCGCGCCCCGGTCCGGGAAGATCCCACATGCCGCGGAGCGGCTGGGCCCGTGAGCCATGGCCGCTGAGCCTGCGCCTCCGCAGCCTGTGCTCCGCAACGGGAGAGGCCACAACAGTGAGAGGCCCGGGTAACGCAAAAAAAAAAAAAAAAAAAAAAAAAAAGTGAATGGATAAACAAATTGTTGTACACCCAGACAAAGGATAAATAAAAAGAACTAACTGCTGATATAAGTAGCAGCAAGAATGAATCCCAAATTGTTATGCTGAGTGAAGGAAGCATGACACAAATGCATGACACAAATACTGCATGATTCCATGCACATGAAACTCACAGTAAAGTTCAATTTAATCTCTGGTGACAAAATGCACATCAGTGGTTACCTTAGCCCAGGAATAGGAAGGGGCAAAAAGAGAAACTTTGAGGATGATGGAAATGCCTATATCTGGATAGTGGTGGCGGCATGCACATACCCTTTTGTCAAAATTCTTCAAACTGTACCTTTAAAATGTGTGCATTTTATTGTTTATAAATTATACTTAATCAAGTTGATTTAAAAATATATGAAAATTCTCCTGCATCCAACTCTTAATCTCCTATAATCTCCCTGTAATCTATATCTTCTCTCTCGTATTTATTATAGGCACTGTCGGTTACCCTTGTAACCTTCAAACCTGTCCTATAGAAATTCTGAGGTCTCGAGCACTTCACTCCCTGTGGTCAGTGCTTTACCTTCACATGGTAACTATGGTTTGTCTTTTCTGACCTCAGCTTTAGTCAAGGAAATGCCCCAGAGGGTAACTGCTTTGCATCCTTCATGAGAAATTCTGAGTCATTCATTCCCCTCCATTTCAACTGTGTGTACATTTTTGGCATGATTTCTAAGGATTGTACTAACGAGACACGATAGTCTTTCCGTCTTCCTGCCCGTGAGCGAAAGCAGTTTGTAGACTAGAGATGTGTGCTCTCTCTCACCATATATCTTCGACGTGATTTTCAGATCAGTGGGGAAGCTGGTGAGGTTCTTTCCAACCCCCATCCTTCCCCAGTTTGCTTGGCCAACTTCATTTGTGGACAGAGCACATTCATCTTTCTCTTGACTCATGATGATCATGCTGACAGAAGGCCAATTTGATTCCTTGCAGAGCAGTTTTATTTCAACTGAAGAGAATGATCCTTATTTTCCAAAAATCTTTCTCTGGGTCACAGTGTGGCAGGGTTGACTCTTCTGCATTTGCCAAGCAGTAATTCCAATAGTTCAACCCCTCTTGCCTTTAGAGGTTTGGTTTTGCTAAATGAAAGATTCCTATCAGGGAACCTGTTAAGGAAAATGGCTGGACTTAGCAATCATTACAAATACTGGGGAGAGTTCAAGTTACTTTCTGAATAAAAACAGGAATAAAAGCAAAAATTCAAAAACAAACCGCAGAAGTAGACAAGGGAACAAACTCATCAGACTGTGATATTTCATAGGTGTACCTGCTATTCTGTCACCCCCCATTTCCATCTCAAGGCTCCTTTTAGGTGCAACTGTAAGCAGGAAACAAGTCAGGCTTTCTGTGACAATTTTAGACTTCTGAGAATATTTATTAAATGATTATGAAGATGTGACAACCCTCCCTCAGCCAGTGTTAATAATCTTCTACATGAAATATTCTGTTCAAGTTTTCTAACACCATCAGACAAGATAGTCCATGCATATAATTTCAGGTACTCTGTATTTTCCAGATTAATAAGACTACCTTTGAAACTGTTCTAGTTCAGCAGTGCTGTCCTTATCCTTTCTGAGGTTTTCAAAATCTTTTAGCATCAAAAAGATGACTTGTGAAAGTCTTTTGTAAACTCCAATGTTATAAATAGCATTTGATGATTTTTAGAATACACATTAAAAACCTACTAGAAAGTAAAAGACATGAGCAGGTAGTTCATGGAAAAAGATACATAAGTGGCCTTTTAAATATATTAATAATGCTCAATTTCATTCATAATAAGAGAAATGCAAATTAAAATTATACTGAGGTAGAATTTCTCAACTATCTGACAAAAAAGTCAAGACTTTGATGATATACTTTATGGCCAGACTATGGGGAAAAAAAGGACTTTCATATATTGCTGGTGGGAAGGCAAAATGGTACAACCCATAGGGAGGGAAATTTGGCATTTCCTAGCAAAATTACCTATGCATTAACCCTTTGACCCATCAATCCCACTGCTAGAAATTTACCCTGAAAATATACCTTCTCAAATACAAAAAAAAAATTATTCATTACAAGTTATTCATTATATTATTTGTAATAAAGTATTAGGAACAACCCACACGCCTATCCATAGGGCATTACAAATAAATTATGGTGCATCTGTACAACAGAATACTATGCAGCCATCAAAAAGAATGAGGAAGCAGGTTTATTTCATTATTATAAATATAGAAAAAAGACATAAAAAAAGAATGAGGAAGATCTCTATGAACTAATATGGAATAATTTGAAGACTATATTGTCAAATGATAAAAAGAAAAGTGCAAAAGAACGCTCATGGTATGCTCTTTTGTATAAGAAAGAAGAGGAAATAAAAACATATATGTATATATTCCCTTATTTTTGCAAAAAGAAAGTCAAGAACAATAAATCTAAAACTCATGAATACAGCTGCCTGTAAGGGTGGATGAGTGGGGTATAGGGAATAAGGGTGCAAGCACAATTCCCCTGATTAGAACTGTTTTACTAGTTTTTACTTTTAAGCTATGCATTTTTTACATATTCAAACATAAAATTCAATAAAAAGAAAGATAAGATAAAACCTTAACATTAGATACAGGAAGAAGTGAATGTTACTGTATACTACATACATAACATAGCCACACAGAAAAATGAATTAATTCAAATAACTTTTAAATATAATACTAAGATTGTATACCATTAATAGAATATATCTTAAGGTCAAAAGAATTATAAAGATATCTTTATAATTTTAAAGAATTATAAAGTATGAACTTTACTTAAGGTTCATAATTGATAGTATTATTGATTGTTGTGTTTCCAAAACTAAATTGTGTTTAACGTATAACGGTATAAACAAGTAAAAATATTGATGTCAGAAACCAAGGTTTTCACTGTGGGATAAGGAAAAGACATACACGGAATGGGAGAATTAAGGTTTGGGGCCATTTTTTGTTCAAATTAAGGAAGCATTATGAATTCATCATTTAATTGTTTTTTTCTAGCTCTGTCTATAAAAAGGGCCAGAAGCAATGATACTCCAGTAGTAATGAGCATACCTCACACTCAGTTCTTTGTTTCCAAATAACATTTCCCACTCAAAGAAACCAGGGCTTCTTATGAACACGACTGGCTCCTGGTCTGAGGCAGGGAAAGTAGAAGGTGATATGGAAACATCTTGTGCCAGACAGCAAGGAAGTGCTCAAAGACGGATGCGGCTATGTCAAAAGGACAAAGAAGCATTGAATTAAAAGAAATAATGAGTCCATATTTGTTGGGCTGTATCCTACAGGTCTGCAAAGCCTGTACTTGCTTAGCATCAAGACCAAAGAAAAAGCCGGAGTCAGCAAAAGAGACATCAGTGGTTTAAAGGATGGGGGAACCTTACATGTCTGAAGCAAGGTCCTGGAGTGACATCCCGCTATGTGCAGCAGAGGTGGGGCAGGACATGGCGGCAGTCTTTGCTCCCAGTGGCAGGGGGAGATTACCAGTTAGCGGGGGAACTGACATCAGGTCAGCCCATCGGTTACCAGGGAAACCAGCAGAGGGGCACGCCCCTCACTTTCCCTTTGATAAGCTATCATAGTGGAGATGCTCTAATCTAAAGTTAGAACAGTCACTAGCTGGGGCCAGGAGCAAGTATGTAGGAAGGTCAGTCAGGTAGGTAGGGTGTAGGTGAGGCAGGCACTGGTGGGGCAGGAGATGTACAGAGAAGACGAGAATAGCCACCTTGGGTGGCCTGACCATACAATAGTGATACTCGAGGAGGGGGAAGGACCCTCACTCTCCAACACCTCCATGTGAAATGTCTACAATTCTGTCCCTGGAGAAGCACTGTGCTACCACCAGAAAAAGAGAATCCACACAGAGACCTTGGGAGTAATAAAACAGATGCAAAACAAGTGAGCTGGATCACAGACTTTAGGACCTTGGAACAGATTCTCTCAGAGAGCAAAGAGACGCAAAGGAGAACAGAGCTAGGTCAAAATGTCCCCCTTACGTAATGATAGGGTTAGGGCTCGGTCGAGCGAGAACTCTGGGAGGGGGCTGATGGCCTAATTTTGCTCACGTGGAGAACTCTGACTCTCCTTCTCACACAGGGCCCTCCAGGACGGGCATCCTTATTCCATAAAGCCAAAGAGCTTCTTTAGCTCAGGAATTTGTGTAGTTAACAAAATGATTTATTGAGTGTAACTGAACCCACTCTGTCAGGAGAACTATTAATAGTTGTGGCATAAACTCACCGTCCACACACTACAAAGGATGTACAGTGGGTTCCAATAAGTTTCCAGCCTTCCTCCTAAGGATGTGGTAAGAGAACGTTCTCGGGGCAGGTTTTGTCCAAATCCTCGTCTGTGTGTCCTGCATTGCCCTTGTCACCACAGACACCCTATTAAGGCCTCTCAGTCTTCCCTCCAGCACTGGCTGAAATTAGAGCCCTCACTGTATCCACTGACTGCAGGAGGAAACGTTAAGTGTCCCTCCAACTTGCCTTGCAAGATGCTGCTTGCAGATTTGTGACAGTGGAGCTTTCTCTCTCACACACCCATGTGCTCTGCTTCTCTCTGCAGAACTACACTCCCTCTACTCCAGTGACGGTATCATAAGCGTTCTGTCAGCTGGAGGAGAATCTGAAAATCTTTTTGGCCAGAAGATCTCTCTGAAAATGGATCGCCCATCAAAAAGAAACAGGGCAGCCACGACACTTCTGATGAAGCTCCACTAACATCCCTCAGAGGCCATAGGTCAAGCAGTTACCCTTCCATCACTTCTTGCCCAAGGTCATCTTCTGGGCTCCCCAGGTGTTCTGCTTGCTCTGGAATGCTGTTATCCTAATTAGACCCAAAGCCCTACAACCCGGAGGTTAGGAAAGACAGTTGGAGACATCCTGCAGTTTGCCTGGAATGTCTTCTCTCAGGCTCAGCTCAGTATTTTTCAGAAGCGCGCTGGAGCTGGCTCATATGCGCTCACAAGGGCAGCCTGTTAAATTTTCAGGAATTTCGCAGGTCAATTGTTGAACAATTGGTAGCTTGAAATTGGCCTGGTGGGAATATTTACACCAAGGAAATTGGAAAACACTAAAAATCAGTGTCCTTCCTCTCAGCCCCAGCTGGTTAAATCTTTACCAGCACACTACTATTAGTAATAGTAACCTATGCAGTCTATATAGTAGATAAGCACACCGGTTTTAGAATCAGGTTGATTTGAACTACAGTCCTAGCCTCACAATTGTATTACTTAACTCTAGTTTCCCAAAGTAAAATTGAGATTAAAAAAAAAAAATACTACGTCATGTAACACTGATTTCCCATTCTTCATGTTTCCACTTGGAAAACTTCCATTAGAGTCACATTCCTGGTCCTTCTCTGATCCCCAAGGGAGGAGGAGTGACTTACATAATGGGTGAACTTACATAATGGGTGAAGAAGCTCAGCATGTGTGACTGCCATTCTAGCAAATGGCACCAAATGTCATGGGCCAAGATAGTTGCTTGAGCATCTAAAGGTTCTGCCCCAAATTCCAGCGGTGGGGGCGGGGGGAGGTGTCCCCACACCACAGAGCAGTTCTTGGGCACCAGCTGGGGGGCCTACAATCCAGCTCCATTCTGACACTATCTACCAGAGAGAGCGTCAGATTCCACAGGTTAACGGCTCCATCCCACGGGACCGCCCTCCACATCCGATGCCAAGAGCCAAGTCCAGATCCACACCAGTGCTTCTGACTGACTGGCTGTAAACCAGAGGTTCCCACAACCTCCTCCTTGGGCTCAATTAATCTGTTCACAGAACTCAGAGAAACATTTTACTTAATAGATAACCAGTTCATTATAAAAGGATATAGGGGACTTCCCTGGTGGTCCAGTGATTAAGACTTCGCCTTCCAACGCAGGGGGTATGGGTTCGATACCTGGTTGGGGAGTTAATATCCCACATGCCTCAAGGCCATAAAAACAAAACAGGGGCTTCCCTGGTGGCGCAGTGGTTGAGAGTCCGCCTGCCGATGCAGGGGACACGGGTTTGTGTCCCGGTCCAGGAAGATCCCACATGCCACGGAGCGGCTGGGCCCGTGAGCCATGGCCGACGAGCCTGCGCGTCCGGAG